GATGTCCAAGAAATCCTTTGGGTCTCTTTAATTTTTTTTTTTCGTTTGAACCAAAGAATTGAACTTTGCCAAGAGTAAATAGAACTCAGATATCAAAAGGTCTGAGTTCAGTTTTCATTGAATACAAAGGGGGAGTAGATTCTGAACTGAGCCAAATGCATTCTCCCACCCTTAATTTACAGTACATTGTTTTGGCAGACTCTACAGTCCCAAAAGTTGGCTTTTCTTCTCCCATTCCTTTCTAGGGTGTAACCACAAGCCTATCTTTGGTTAGCTTTACAAAAATAAGGCCATATTGTACCAATTTATGAGAGCCTCACTCATCACTGGTTCTATAGCGATCAATTTTATTAGAACAAACTGAAATGTTTGAAAAGGTTAAAAGCCTCCTCTAAAGTTGTAATTTTGTTTGATATCCTACAAGGATTTTTATTTTTTCAGTCCTTTCATCTGGGGTTTTATCAAAAGGGATGTTGCTCCCTTTCCCCCATCAATGGTCAGGCCATCAACCAGTTATTAAATTGAGTATTGGAGGGCTACTTTGCTTGTGCTGCTCATATTTGGAGAATGAAACAGGTCCTTCATTATGTCTTTAAAGGAGAAAGGGTCAGAGAAAGGAGTAGTGTTTTGAGCTTTTTAAAAATAACAAAACCAATCTTAAAATAAAGAAGCAGAGCAAAATTAAGATCACCCCAAATTCTGTCACTTCAAGATAAACGTTAACACTTTGTGGATCATTCTCCTTTTATTTTAAAAAGGTATCTATGTTAGTAGAGATATATGTGCATATATAATAATAAAAATGGGATATTACATTATTTTGTAATCGGCCTTTTCCATTTTAGTTCATAACTAATTATCAATATTAATATAATATTATCTATATTAATATAATTATAATTGATAATATTATCAATATTAATATAATTATATCTACTTCATGCATAACATTCAGTTGCACAGATGGAATGCAACTTACTTAAATGATTCAGGGAGGAGTCTTTCAATTGCAAGTGACAGAAAATCCACGTCAAACTGACGTAAACACAAAGGGAAATTTTTGCGCTGATATTTGAAAAGTCCAGTGGGAGATTTGGTTTCAGGCATGGCAGGATTCAGGGCTCAAATTACATGATGATGTTATGCCCCAATAATGGGTCCATGATTAAAGGAGCGAGACTGATACAAAGCGAAGGTCAAGCAAAGCTTTATTTCATGCCAAGCATCAAGAATCTAACTGAACGTTTGGGGACGCACCTCTTACAAGAGAGGGCGACCCTTCTCTGTTTCACAGACTAGCTTTTAAGAGCAAAGGCCATGCGGTTGGGTCTGGCCATGCACAGGTGACCAATGAGATTGTAACACACACAGGAAACTCCACAGTGATGCTAGGTGACCAACTGAATTATAATTTACCCTAGTAGACATTTTTTTTTTTAAGATTTTATTTATTTATCTGTCAGAGAGAGAGAGAGGGAGAGAGAGCGGCAGAAGGGAGCAGGGACAGTTTAACTTTAATGAAAGCCTCTTGCTAAATAGGTCCTTACAATGATGTTTCAGCTTCTCTTCCTTTCCTTTTGCTCTGCCTTCTGCTGCTTTGGTGCTGCTCACATGTTGCTAGCAGAGGCAGCAGTTCCAGAAAACATGCATCCAGGTTTTTACCTGGCAGAGGAGAACAAAGCTCTGTGCCAGCTCCCACCATGTAAATCACGTTGCCCTGGTCCCATAGCAATCTCTGAGTCTTCACTGCGCATCTTGTGCCCAGGTCATCAAAGACTCCTGGAATCCAAGTATTTCACCAGAATAACACAGATTGAGAATGAGCTGGGGAGGGAGGGAGGAAAGGAAGGAGAATGGGTGAATATTGTATGGCCAAAATAAGCTCCACAATTCACATGCTTGAACACGTAGAACTATTTTTGTATTGTTTCCCATGGTTTTTGTCACAAAGTACCACAAACTAGGTGGTTTGAACAGAAATTTATTTTCTCACAAGTTCTGGAAGCTGGAACTCCAAGATCAAGGTGGGGTTGGTCCCTTCTGAGGGTCGTGAAAGAGAATCTGTTCCATGCCTCTCTCCTAGCTTCTGCTCATATGGTGGCAATGTTTGGCATGTAGATGCATCATTGTGATGTCTGCCTTCATTGTCACATGGTGTTCTGTCTGTGTCCAAGTTTCCCCTTCTTATAAAGATACCAGTCCTATTGGATTAAGGGTCCAGTGCTTCAGTATGACCTCATTTGAGTGATTACATCTACAGTGGTTCTATTTCCAAATATGATCAATCACATTTTGAGATACTAGGGGTTGGGGCTTCAAAATACGAATTGCGGGTGTGAGGGGTACAATTCATTCTTTTTACACACTTAATGTTCTGGCTATATCTAAGGCCCATTGCAGTCTGGGTTTGAATGTTGAATCTGGCTGCTTCTCTCTGGCCAGGGTTTGGACTACCAGGTTGGATGAGGTGACCTCTAGGGTCCCTTTGTGTTTAAGGGCTTAGGGGCTAGGAATCCATCCCGCTGCCTGAATGTATCCCACGGAGCCCCACCCCTGCCTAGCTTGTGGACTTTGGGCAAGTGACTTAACCTCTGCAAACCTCAGTCTCCTTAACCAGTAAAATGAGCATAACAGTGCTCCACTCCTTGCTTGTTGTGGGCCAGGCACATAGTGCTCAGTAAACATTAGTGACTGTTCCACCTCTCCAGACATGTAAGGACCGAAGAGTCAGAAGAGCCTGACATAACCCCAGTGTTCTCACCTTTCGTGATAATTTGGCCCAACAATTTCTCTCTGAGTTTGTCCCAGAAGAAGCTTCAGATGGGAAGGGCTGCCTTGTAAGACGGCAAACCGGAATTCAAATCCGGTCCAGGGAACACAAAGTATTCTCTCTGCTAAAGCCAGATGCTGTAAATTCTGAGCAGACTCCTCCTAGGCAGTGTGATTACGAAATACCTGTTTCTTTTGCGTCCCACTTATCCGCCTCTCTGACATTTCCTTTTTTCTCTTACAACTTGATCTTTCCCACCATCTATCAGATGTGGGCTGGAACCAGTCATTTTATTTACAATCTCCTTCTTTTTTGGCTCTATAAATCTGAGGACATGAAACAGCCGTCTGCTGCTTTCCAAGGCGCCACATCTTTTCGTTCTTTCAGACTTTTTCTGTGGGGCCTAATTTAGCTTATCTAAATGCTTATTGAATAACAACCAGAACTTCAAGTTCTTGCAGATGGCAGGACCTATTTGATAAGGTGTCTTAAGGCCTTCACCAAGGTCAAAGCAAGAAATGTAGATCACCTTTAAAAACGTGGTTACTTTCACTTAGCAAATATTTCCTAAGTGCTGACTCTGTGCCAAGTGCTGTTCTAAGCACCAGAATCCCTTACCCTTGAGAACTGCACTTTCTAGGGGCATTCATTCACGCAGAAAATATGCAGTGAGAACCTACCACATGGCAGGAATTGTTCATCATTAAACAGCAGAGACACAATCCTTGCACTGATGACTATTGTGTGTGTGCGTGTGTGTGTGTGTGTGTGTGTGTATGTGTTTGTAGGAGGGGATAGAATACAATACAATACAAGTAAATTTTTATCATAGTAAAAGGTGATAAGCACTATGGAAAAAAATACAGCAGGGTAAGGGGGGATTAGGATTGGTGGCAAGGTTGTATTTTAAACAAGGTGGTCAGAGAAGGTCTGCATCAGGTCCCTGCATCAGGTTCCCCGGTCAGCTGGGAGTCTGTTTCTCCCTCTGCCCCTCTCCCTGCTCGTTCTCATTCTCAAATCAATAATTTTTTTTTTTTTTTTTTTTTTTAAAGAGAGAAGATGATATGTGAGCAAAGACTCACAGGCAAGTTGAGAGAAAGGTGAGGAAGAGAGCCCTAATATTTGGATAAAGAGCAAGTCCAAAGGCCCTGGGGCATGAGTATGCCTAGCTTTTCAAGACTAGAAAGGAGGCTAGTTTTCGCTGGAGCAGAGTGAGCAAGGTGAGAATAGAAGGAAGTGAAGTTAGGGGCAGATCAAATAGAACTTTCAGCTTGCGTGACCTGAGGAACCATCAGGAAGTGCTAAGCTGGGTAGCAACATGATCTCAGACTTCGAAGGATAGATCTGGCTGCAGTGTTCAGTCCAGACAGTGCAGGTGTGGGTGGCAGTAGGGAGGCCAGTAAAATCAATCACTCAAGTGCGCCAGACCAGAGCAGAGACAGGAGGGGTGGTGAGACGCCTCGGATTAGGGATTTATTTTAAAAACAGGTCAACAGGATCTGACCGGCGGGGTGGAGGGGTTGGGGAGTGGGGTGGGTGGGGGGTGTTTGAGCGAAGAGGGTAGGGATGGCTTCAAGAATTTGGCCTGAGCATCCTGAAATAATGGAGTAGCCACTGGCTGAGATGGCCAAGACTGGTGGAGCAGTTTTGTTTTGTTTTCATGCTTTGGGCCGGGAGCTTGGTTCAGACATGTTAAGTCTGAAGAGCTTGTTAGCTCTCCGTGTGGAGTGGCCAGCTGGATTTGGATGTTGCCTGGGGAAGTGATTTTGGGGGACATCTCTAAAGCCTCAGGAAGTGAGACCCTGCTGGAGTACTGTCAGAACTGGCTTTGTCTCTCTCCTCTCTGCCCTCTTCAAGGTCGGAGACTCCCTGGAGAGCAGCTCTTCGCGCTACAGCCCTTTCAGCCGGCAAAGTTCCTCTTTTTTCTCTTTGGGGAACAGTGAGAAAAATCAGCAGATATGACGGTCCGTGGTATGGCCTCCATTCCTTAACTCGCTGCGGGGGAAAGAGGCAAAGCCTCATGGGGTGGAAACGCAGACCCGCCTCCCGTTTCCCGCCTCCCTGACGACACCCCCTGAGCTCCGGGCTGGCGGGCGGGGCCGCGGCGCGAGCGCACGCCACAGAAGGGGGCGTGGCCGCTCGGCTCGCGCGCTTGCAGCGTGCACGCCGGCCTCGCTCCTTCCTGCTCTTCCCAGGGTGATCAGCTGGTCTGCGCTCCCCTGACGTGGGCCGGGGCACGTCACCGCCGAATGGCAGCCTCCAGAAAGGCACCGCGAGTAAGGTGAGGGACTCTGCCGGGGAGCCGGCTTCTGGGCTGTGCGCGATCCCCGGGGCCCGGACGCGCATTTTGCACCCCAGAGGGCAGGAACCAGAAGGGGAGAAGCAGCAGGCGGCCCACCATAGTCCGGAGAGGGCCCCGGCTTGCGGGAGCCCCCTGAGCGGGAGCAGGGGGAGGGGACCATTGCAGCCAGGCAAGTTCAGGTTCGTTTCAGGAGGGCCGCGTGCACCCTCGGGCCGCCCGATCCGGGCCCACGGACGTGTGTGCCCGCAGAGCTGCGGCGCTCAGCCCGAGGGTCGGTGTCCGTGTTCCACCTCTACTCCTGGCCTGGCAGGAAGGCCCCCGCTGTTGCAGGAAGTTGGCCCCTCTAGGCGCCTCCGGGTTTCCCGGGGAAGTGGGCGAGCCCCTGTCCTTGCCCCTCTTCCCGCGGAATATAATCTTCAGATTTACAGCCCTGACAATACAGCAGCAGTTCGCCTTATTGATCTCCTATCGCCAGGAAGATTGGCACCCGCGGGCCCATCCCCACCCGCATGGTTTCAGAGGCTGTGTGAGGGAATACTTTGGCGTAATCTCTCCAAGATCCCACCAGTAGCCTGTCCTGGGCTCTCCCTGGGTACAGGGGGCGTGGGAAGGGTAATCTCCTCATCTCAGACACATTTCGGTTTATTCTCCCGCCACAACTGGGCTATACTTCTGACAAAGTGGGAGACTGAGAAATGTTTGGAGATCACAAAGACGGGAAGCCAGAATCCTTGGAGATCCACACGGGATTGGGGTCAGTCATCCTCAGGCCAGTTGAGACTTGAGTGAATACGCCTGGAAGCATGAACACAGACCGTGGCTTGTAGTTGTGATTTTGAGTGGACAGATCGCAAGCTGACCTTGACCTGGCCTTGGCCTTGCCATATCATGTTGGGGATGAGTAGAGAAGGAGGGATGTGTAGAGAACCAGGCCTATCTTGTGGAAGGATGTGGGGAGGTGTGGCAAACCTGGTGTGGAAGGAGTTGCCTTATATTAACTGCTGACAATGGGGTTAGGCAGGTGGCTAATGATGAATTAGGTCCTAGTCACATAAGTAGCTTTGAGGACCAAGATTAGATTTATAGAATCACAACATTTTGAGGGCAGAAGGGTCTCTCAGCATCAGCTGGCAGAGCCTCCTTACCACACATGGGAGGCAATTGAGAGGCTGAGAAGGGCTGTTTGCCCTAGGCCCTTTCCCTAGTGGCAAAATTTAAGAGCTACTCAGTGTAAACATGAGAACTTCTTGCGGTTCAGGTAAAACTGACTTAGGTAAAAAAGGGTTGAGCTGGCTTCTAGTGCAACTGAGTACAGGAGACCAACACTGGCATCAGACTTGGCCTCTTTTTTGCATCTCTTGGCTCTGATTTCTTAAGTATTGGCTTCATTCTCAGGCAGACTTTCCTTCTGGAAGTACGACCATTCTATGCTGGCAGCCCCAGCAGAAATAGAGCCCTCTTTCCTAACGGTTGGAGCACAAATCCCAGATCTGATTTCCAGTGGGCTGACTTGACCTTATGTTTATTCCTGAACCAGTCATGGCCACAAGAATAGATTGCCCAGGCCTGGGTCCCAGAACTTGGTGGGTGAGGGGATGAGATTCATCCCTACTCTGTGGACTGAAAATGGAGACAAGACAGTCTCAGATGGAAACCATTGTGCTTTGACCAAAAGAGGGAGGGGTAGACTTTGGGTGGGAAAAGACTGCATTTCTCACTACCGCACCCTAAAACTTGTTTCAGTATACCCTTATCTGAACTGAGGTGTGATTGAGCAACTTGGTCCTTGTTTTGTCCCATCCCAGTGATAGACGTGTATGAGTCTCATGGACCAGGGTAAGGGGGATGATAAGCACAACCCTGCTGGGATTTCTTTTCTTTTTTTTTTTTTTTTAAAGATTTTATTTATTTATTTGACAGAGAGAGATCACAAGTAGACAGAGAGGCAGGCAGAGAGAGAGAGGGAAGCAGGCTCCCTGCCGAGCAGAGAGCCTGATGCGGGACTCGATCCCAGGACCCTGAGATCATGACCTGAGCCGAAGGCAGCGGCTTAACCCACTGAGCCACCCAGGCGCCCCCCTGCTGGGATTTCTTTAAAAAGAGAGAGAAAGAGGTACCCTACTCATCTTGTGCAAAGATTGAACAAGAAGTTCTTCACATGCTTCTTTCCCCAGACCCACCTCCTGACACATGGTACATCATGACGTTGAGAAGGTGTAGGCTGAGGAAGTCCTGGGAATGGGAAGAGAACTGCTGGCAGTTGGGAGGCCTGGACTGTGGTTCTAGACAAGCTCTGTCACCAGCTAGCTCTGAGGTTTCCAGCAAGTTGATCTCTGTTTCTGTTTCTTTGTCTAGAGGAGGGAGCTGAGTTGGATGGTCCCTGAGGTACATTGTAGCTCTAACATTTTTTTTTTTTAAAGATTTTATTTATTTGACAGAGAGAGATCACAAGTAGGCAGAGAAGCAGGCAGAGAGAGAGAGAGGAGGAAACAGGCTCCCTGTGGAGCAGAGAGCCCGATGTGGGACTTGATCCCACGACCCTGAGATCATGACCGAGCCGAAAGCAGAGGCTTAACCCACTGAGCCACCCAGGTGCCCCTGTAGCTCTAACATTTAAATGATAGCCCTTAAAAAAAAAAAAAAGAAAAAAATGGTAACCCTTCTTCAACTGAGCCTGAGAATGTATCTGTTCAAGGATCTTGGGTTCTGCAGAGACCAGGGTAGGACAGGAGCAGAACAACTGTAATGTTTACCTGCTTCATGGCCCCTTTGAGCCTGATGGGAAGGTAGAGGTAGTTATGCTTAGGGAGAGAGTTTGAATTCAAATTCTCCCATGAGCATCCTGTGTCGGACCTGATTTCTTGTCTTTGCACTTGTGTATGGCCTGTGGTACGTTATCTTTGTTTTCTTATCAAGTGAATGAGTAGAGCTACTTGTGAATAATTTCCCTCCAGCTCTTTTGCCCGTGTCCCAATTAGTCACTGGGACCAGTTAACTCCGAATGTGTAGAGAAACTGACTTCCTTGGCTCACCGTCTTGTCAATGGGTATATGAAGTCAAGGGAAATCAGGTGATCTCTGTCCAAAAAAAAAAAAAGTTTTCTTACTTTGTAAAATATTATAACAGCTTTATTGAGATGTAATTCATGTACCACACAGTTCACCTTTTAAAAACATACATTTCAGTGGCTTTTAGAATATTCACTAGAGTTGTACAGCCATCAGGACTGTCAGTTTAAAACCTCTTTATCCCCCTGCCAAGAGGAAACCCTGTACACATTAGCGGGCAGTCCTCATTTCCCCCAGCTTCACTTAGCTCTAGGCAGTGGCCAGTTAGTTTCTGTCTCTATGGATTTGCCTCTTCTGGACATTGTGTACAGATACATGCAAAATACGGTTTTCTGTGACTGGCTTTTTTCACTTTGCGTAAAATGTTTTCAAACTTCACTGTGTTGTAGCATGTTATCGTTACTTGATTCCTTTTTAATTGCCAAATAATATTCCATTGTATGGATAGACCACTTATTTATCCATTCATCAGTTGATGGACCTTTGCGTTGTTTCTACTTTTTGGTTATTACGAATATGCTATGAACATTTGTATACAAGTTTTTACGTGGACTTAGATTTTTCAGTTGCCCATACCTAGTGGAATTACTGAGTATGGGATAATTCTTTATTTATTTATTTTATTTTATTTATTTTTTTTATTAAAGATTTTTATTTATTTATTTGACAGACAGAGATCACAAGTAGGCAGAGAGGCAGGCAAAGAGAGAGAAAGGAGGAAGCAGGCTCCCTGCTGAGCAGAGAGCCCGATGTGGGGCTCAATCCCAGGACCCTGGGATCATGACCTGAGCCGAAGGCAGAGGCTTTAACCCACTGAGCCACCCAGGCACCCCGGGATAATTCTTTATTTAATGTTTTGAGGAATACTGGACTGTTTTCCAAAGTCGCTACACCATTTTATATTCCCACCAGCATTGTTTGAGGGTTCCAATTTTTCCACATCCTTACCCATACTTGTTATTGTCTTCTTTTTATTATAACTTTCCTATTGCATATGAAATTATATCTCATTATGGTTTTGATTTGCATTTCCCTAATGGATAAAGATGTTTAAAGTTTTTTCATGTGCTCATTGGCCATTTGTATATCTTCTTTGGAGAAATGTGTATTCAGAAATGTCTATTCGGGGGCGTCTAGGTGGCTCAGTGGGTTAAAGCCTCTGCCTTTGGCTTTGGTCATGATCCCAGTGGCCTGGGATCAAGCCCCATGTCAGGCTCTTTGCTTAGTGGGGAGCCTGCTTCCTCCTTTCTCTCTATGCCTGCCTCTCTGCCTACTTGTGATCTCTGTTTGTCAAATAAATAAACAAAATCTTAAAAAAAAAATGTCTATTCAGATGCCCTTGACCATTTTAAAATTGGGTGGTCTTTTTATTGTTGAGTTGTAGTAGTTCTTTATATACTCTGGATGTTAGACTCTTATCAGATATGAGTTGCAAGTGTTTTGACTCATTTTTTGGTTGTCTTTTCACTTTTTTGATGGTATCCTTTGAAGTACAGAAGTCTTTAATGAAATCCATCGTATCTCTTTTCTTTGGTTGCTTACTCTTTTGGCGTCATATCTAAGAAATCATTGCCCACTCCAAGATCAGGCAGATTTATGTCTGTTCTTCTAAGAAAACATTTATGTTTATGATCCATTTTGAGTTAATTTTTGTTTATGGCATATGGATATCTGGTTGTCCTAGCATTATTTGTTGGAAACTATTTATTTTTTTCTCCATTGGATAGTTTTGGCACTGTTGTCAAAAATTGGCAGTACTCATGAAACAAACTGAGGTTTCCTGGGGGTTGGGTAGGAAGGGATAGATTGGCTGGGTTATGGACATTGGGGAGGGTATGTGCTGTGGTGAGAGCTGTGAATTGTGTAAGCCTGATGATTCACAGACCTGTACTCCTGGGGCAAATAATACATTATATGTTAATTAAAAATATTTGAGAATAAATAAAAATAAAAATAAAACTCACACAAAATTCACAGTAAATGTGAGGTTTATTTCTGAACTTGTTCTGTTTCATTGATCTGTAAGTCTGTCTTTATGCCAATATCACACTGTCTTGATTACTGTAGTTTTATTAGTTTTGACATCAGGAAGGATGAATCCTCCAACTTTGTTCTTTTTCAAGATTGATTTGCCTGTTCTGGATTCTATTTTCATAAGAATTTTAGGATCTGCTTCTCAATTTCTGCACGTACAAGCTAGCTGAAATTTGATAGGGGTTGCCTCTAGATTATTTTGGGGAGTATTGGCATTTTAATAATATTGAGTCGTCTTTTTTTTTTTTTTTAAAGATTTATTTTTTTGACAGAGAGAGAGAGATCACAAGTAGGCAGAGAGGCAGGCAGAGAGAGAGGGGGAAGCAGTCTCCATGCTAAGCAGAGAGCCCGATGCATGGCTCGATCCTAGGACTCTGAGATCATGACCTGAGCCAAAAGCAGATGCTTAACTGACAGAGCCACCCAGGCGTCCTGGTGTATGATCCTTTTTTATATGTTACTGGATTCAGTTTTGCTAGTATTTTCTTGAGGACAATTGCACTTATATTTATAAGAAATACTGATATGTTCTATTTTTTAATGAAAGAATATATGATTCCCTCAATAAAGAACATCCCATTCGGTCCTACAAAATTAAGTTCTCTGGGAATCGACCTGGAGTGATTAGTGAAAATCTCTGGTCTTCTGGTTCTCTGTGTGGTAGACTGACCTAATGTGGGCTCTTCTCCCTCTACTGACACATAAAAATGTGGTAAATATAATAAAATTACTTTTAAGTTCATAGCTGAATAAAATCCAAACCCTTTGTATCACCTATTAAAGGCTTCGTGTTGCCTCTCTGATCTTGTCTCCTAACCACATATACATCTCTTCCTGCCAGCACGTGCAACCACACTGGCCTCTTTGCTTTCTCTGATGTGTACCAGGCATACTTCTGCCTTAGGGCCATTGCCCTTAAAATTCCCCTTTTCTAGAACATTCTTTTCTTAGACATTCACATGGCTTGATTCCTCACTTTTTTAAAGGACTCTATCTAGAATATCATCTGTTAGCAAAGAGATCTTGCCTGGCAACCCCATATAAAATCACCTTTCACCTTACCTCTCTGACACTCTTCCTTTTGCCTTGCTTTACTTTTCTTCATAGAACACATACTCCCTGATAGACCATATTCTTGTTTTTTATCTTTTGGAGGTTAAACTGGATCCTTCTCTTTTCAGCATTCTCTAGCCCCTACCCCCCCACCCTTGTATACCTCCTGAGATCAGAGATGCTGTCTGTTTTGTTCACTGTTATGTCTAGAGTATGTTATGTCTAGGCCTGGATTATAGAAGAGTTTCAATGAATATTTGTTGACTGAATGGACTTGAGAGAAAAGAAATCCTCAGGTGCCAGAAATTTGGGCGAACTTAAAGCTTGAATGGTAGCTGGTATGCTGAGCCTGGGGGGGTTACACACTCAGAGTCCTTCATACCTGGGGTCCAGGGCATCATACTATCCCTGTATGGGGATGGGAGAATTGTGGGTAAATCTCCTATCTAAGAAAGTAAAGTGGAAATTAGTTTTATAAGCAAACAACAGGGACAGTAGTGTTTGTCTAGGACATGTCTAATTTTCATACATAAAGTAGTCTCTACTGAAGATAAGCTCTTCTTCTTTTTTTTTTTTTTTTTTTTAAAGATTTTATTCATTTATTTATTTGAGGGAGAGAACATGAGAGAGGTGAGGGTCAGAGGGAGAAGCGGACTCCGTGCAGAGCAGGGAGCCCGATGTAGCACTCGATCCTGGGACTCCAGGATCATGACCTGAGCCAAAGGCAGTCACCTAACCAACTGAGCCACCCAGGTGCCCCCTGAAGATAAGCTCTTAATAAAAGATTACAAAACATGTAAGGAATAACTTAGTGAGGGGAAGCCAGCAGACCCAGCGAACTTGAAGATTTGGACCTTCTAATGGGAATTCTAAAATAAGAGCCCCAAATAATTAAAGCTAAGAGAAGGAATGGAAACCATAGTGAAAGAATGGGACACCATGAGGAAAGAGCAGGCAGTTTAAAAAGAACCAAATAGAATTTATACGTGTGAAAAATACAGTTATTGCAAATAAAGTCTTTTTAGACTAGTTAGGAGATGAGACATAGCTGAAGAGAATTGAAGAATTAGAGGTTAGATCTGAGAAGGTTTGCCTTCCATGGTGCTGTTCTAGCTGCAAGTTTTATCTGAGACTTTTACTTATTTCGTTATGATACCAGGGTTAGAGTCCTTCTGAGTCATGAAGGAAAACTGCTAAGTCAAGTAGATATCCTCTCTAACTAAGCCTTGCCACGTTTCCTATGGTCAAAGTCTGCAATATCCTGTTCTTTCTCTTCTTAAGGGCGAATCACCAGGATTTTCAGCTGAAAAATTTAAGAATAATTGAGCCTAACGAGGTGACACACTCAGGAGACCCAGGTGTGGAAAGAGGTAATATTGTGCTTACTAATTAGATGGAATGTCTTGAAAGAATTTTAGGTCCCTGTACCCTATTCCCAAGTTGGGAGAAAAGAGAGGGTAGAGGATTAAAAATTCCTCGTGGCTGGGACTAAGGGGGCATATATTTGGAAATTAAAAACCATTTTGTCCTTTGGGTTCTGGGTAGTTGGTTACTGTTTATGTATTTACCACTTTCTTTAGGTAGTAAGTTACAGAATTATAATTTTTGTATGTCCTCCTTCGGGATTAGGCAGTGGTGGAGGAGGAGGAGAGAGAGATTCTTATTGAAAATGCCCGGTTCTAGGGTCTAGGGGTGCCTGGGTGGCTCAGTCATTTAAGTTTCCCACTCTTGATTTCGCCTCAGGTCATGATCTCAGGCTTGTGATATCGAGCCCAGCATCCGACTCCGGGCTTAAGAGTCTCTCCCCCACCGTGCACACCCCAACCACCCCACCAAAAGCCCAATTCTAGTTTTCCCCATCTCTGATGTAAACTTTTAGTGGTTACCTTAGAGGTTGGCTTTCAATTTTTGTTGTAAAATTTTGAAAAGAGAAAAGTTAATAGTATCCTACTCTGCTGTATCAATTTTGCATTCAGAAAAATCTTTTCGGGAAAAATTTCTGGAACCATGCTCTCTTCCCAGAACTGGTTAGTTGTATTGTTGGGTTGCTAGAAACCTGAATTCTGAAAAGTGGTAAATTATTCTATTTCTATCCCTAGGAAACTAGTGCTTTTCTCTGGGCCGCCCAGGAAAACCAGAGCACTTCCTTTTAGTCGATTGAAAAAATTGATTACCTGAAGTTCATCAACCATGACTGTTCTCTTTTTGGCAGAGCAGTGCTATAACTGCTTGCAATTAGGTCCCTTTTCTTTAAAAATATAAATATATACAACATATTTTGGGTGGTATTTGGGAAGAGAAGAAGATGGAAGAAGGAAGGGGAAAAAGAATAAGGGAAGGTAAATAGTGACAATTATCAAATGTAGAGTTCAGAGAGAACTTCTCTTTAGTTTGTCTGAAGAAAGAAGGTTGCAGGGAACATCAGTTGTCTGGGGTTGCAGATCCCAACTAGAAACTGGAGCCCACTTGTTTTGATTCCATTGGTCTTCGAATACTTTAAGAGAGCCTTTGTCATGTCCTCTAGGTAATGTGGTAAAATAGAGCATAGACTTGGGAGTTGGATAGATATTGGGTCCTGGTTCTTGATAATCCTGTTGACTGGGGCAAGTGTTTAACTCTTGTTTCTTTATCTGTAAAATGGGAATACCGCAGCCTCTCTTGGGAGGGTTATTTTGAGAACTGGCCACCAGTGTATGTAAAGCCCTTGGTCCTCACTCAGCAGTGAGACCAAGAAGCAAACCAGTGCCTGAAAAGTGATTGATGCTGGCGGAGCAGCCTGGCAGCTCTGTGTTTGTTAAGATGCTGAAATTCTTATTCTATTCTTCTATTCTTATAATGAGACATGTAGGAAACCCAGCTGGTTTTGCAGATCCAGATTCAAATAATATTTCTTGAGCTTTTATAATGTACCAGATGCTGTGCATGGTGCTTTCACATGTGTTGTTTCAAGCGGAATTCTGTCCACCTGGTGAGGTAAACACAGTGTGCTTTTCATGTACTTCTAAGAGAAAAGTTGTATTTATGCTAAAGGCTGAAGGTTTCGGAACTTATTTCTGAAAGCAAGCCCACATATGCAAGAGACTTTGAAATGAGTCATTCTCTTTAAAGCACGATTTAAAAATACCTGGCAGTGTTTGGGCTAAGGTTACATCATGGAGTCTTGTTGCTCTTGGCTTCCTACTTCGCTGCACACCCTGATTAACTCTTGGCTGCTTCTAAATTTCTGAAGGTGACGGAATGTGGAAATGTGGAGCAGATGCTGTAATACGACGTCGTCTAGCATCCTAGCTCTCCTCTTTCACTGAAGATGCATTACTGTTGATTGTATTGAGTCTGAAAAGATCACGACACGAAGTTGGGACATTGCTCAGCCATCTTTGAGCACGTATATGTAGGTCTTATTCAGGAATGAGGATGACATGTCCCTTTCTTGAGGGGAAGCATTAGGTTCATGTGTTGCACTATTTATCGCTCTGCTTCCATGGTTAGTTAATTGTGTATCTAACTCTATGAATTGAACACACATGACATTTACTATGCGCCAGGCATTGTTTCTAAGTGTGTTGAGTGTGTTGTATATAGTAACCTATTTGATCCTTATAAGACCCCCCCCCCGCCCCCACCTGGGCCCAATCTCTCTGGGCGGCTGCTTTGTCCCCCCCATGCTGGCTGCTCACCCATTCCATCACTTGCAGGGCTACAACGGCCCCGGCCACATTTATGCATGGAAGCTGCCTCCGCAGCCACAGCCCATTGCTTTGGCCCTTGTCACTCACGGTCTTCTTCACCTCGGCTGTGGCTGCCACTGCTGCTGCCGCTCACCATGTCCTAACTGTGGGCTGTGGTGTTGGGAGTTCTTTCTTTGTGTCTGGTAGGGGTGACGAAAAAGTGGCTGCATCTGACGCAGCAGGCCAACCACTCATGAAGGGCATGGAGGAGGAGGAGGAGGAGGAGGAGGAGCAGGAGGCAGGGATGGTGGTGACGGCAGGTGGCGTTGTGTGGAGAAGTGTGAAATGCCACTGTAGAAGAGTACGACCGTCAAGAGGAACAAGGCGAGGATGAGGCAGGAGATGGTGATGAAGGCTGGAGTGTGGTGGTGAGGAGCTTCCGGAGCCAGAGGATGCCTTCGACCCGTTCCGTTTCGCCTTGGATGGTTTTCAGTTTGTAATTGAGGATTTTGTGCTTGCCATTGGTTTTGCTGACTTTATTGATGAAGTCAGTGACAATGTTGATATGTACCATAGTCAGTGCCATTGAAATCCTTAAGTCAGAATGTGCCTAAATAGAAGCCACATTCTGTAAGGAAATGAATGATCTTGACAGAAAATACATTCGCTTGTGTCACGTGTTTGCTTTTTAAGTTCCAGATGCCCAGGCTGTACTCCAGAGTTGTTAAATTAGACGTCCCCCAGGTAGTTCTCTTTTGCAGCCAAGGTAGAAATACTGCTCCAGGGGAAGTCCACATTTTGGCTTGACTCTTTTTAATGTTAACTTGCTTAGAAATACGGTTTGAAACCCCTGAAAATGTCCTAGTAAAGTTTCAGATGCTTGCAAGCTTACAAGGTCACAGTGGGCTTTATTTTGAACCCAGTTGGAGGTGTTGACATATAAACTTAGGTTGGATCAGATAACTGTGATCTCTCTTTCTTAGATAGATGAGAAATTACAGGCTCAGTAGATTAGACAAAAGGAAAGGATGCTCCTCAGTAAAGTATTCGGAAGCAGGTATAACGTAAGGAACATGGGCACGTTGGAATTGTGAATAGGCCCGTTTCCAGTGACTCTGTCTTTTAAGTATTTCTGTCGTTTGGAGACTCTGAGATGGAGTCCTAAGGCTGGTGGTTGAAGCTACCCTTGCAGATTAAGAATGGGGTACTTTGGGGCACCTGGGAGGCTCAGTGGGTTAAGCCTCTGCCTTTGGCTCAGGTCATGGTCTCAGGGTTCTGGGATTGAGCCCCGCATTGGGCTCTCTGCTCAGCTTCTCCCTCTCTTTCTACCTGCCTCTTTGCCTACTTATGATCTCTCTCTGTCAAATAAAGAAAACCTTAAAAAAAAAAAAAGATGGGGTACTTTTTCAGTGAGTCCCAAGGTCAGTATAGTACCTCATAGGGGGATCTATGGGAGGTAACCATCATGACTGAGACTTCTGTAGCTCCAGATGCTGGTGATGATGGAGAAGAAGCAGATGAAAATGTTGAAGAAAAAGAAACTTAAAAAAGATCCATACCTAGCAGAATTCAAGTTACAGTGAGTCAGGACGTCAGTCCTTGAAGATAACTGGGAGTGTAATGGCCCCAGCTTAACTCTGTGTTACAGCATTGTATTTAGGGTGCTTTTGGTTAAGTAAAATATTTTTCATTTGTTTAAAAAATTAGTTGGCAGAATCTGACACACTGGTAGCACCGAATGCTGGTGAGGAAGGGGAGCAGTAAGAATGCTCATTCATTAATGGCAGGAATGCAAAATGGTATACAGCCACTCTGGAAGACCGTTTGTCACTTTCTTACAAAACTAGATACATCCTTACCTTATGACCCAGTGGTCATGCTCCTTGGTATTTACCCAAAGGAGTTGAGAACTTATGTCCACACAAGGACCTGCACATGGATGTTTGTAGCAGCTTCATACATGATGGACAAAACTTGGAAGTAACCAAGATGGCCTTCAGAAAATGAATGTATAAATAACTTGTGGTAGGGGCGCCTGGTTGGCTCAGTGGGTTAAGCCTCTGCCTTTGGCTCAGGTCATGATCTCAGGGTTCTGGGATTGAGCCCCACATTGGGATCTCTGCTGAGCAGGGAGCCTGTTTCCCCTCTCTGCCTGCTGGTGATCTCTCTCTCTCTGTGTGTGTGTGTGTCAAATAATAAATAAAATCTTAAAAAAAAAAAAGGAAAAAAAATAACTTGTGGTATATCCAAACAACGGACTGTTACTCGTCACTAAAAATAAATGAGCTGTCAAGCCATGAAAAGACGCAGAAGAACCTTAAATACATATTGCTTAGTGAAAGAAGCCAGTCTGAAAAGGCTTTGAATTCTGTGATTCCACCTGTTTGACTTTCTGGAAAAGGCAAAACTATGAAGACAGTAAAAAGATTAGTCATTTTCAGGGGTGGAGGGGCAGTGAGAGGAGGAATAAGTAGACTGAGCAGAGAGGATTTTAGGGTAATGAAAACTATTAAGCTATTTCATATGATGCTATATCCTGGGTACATGACATTAAGCATTTCTAAAAACCTATGGAATGGACCACACCAAGAGTGAATCCTAGTATGAACCATGGATTTAGGGGGATAATAACATGTCAATGTAGGTTCGTGGAGGAGTAACAAATATACCACTCTGGCAAGGGATCTTTTTATAAAAACTTACTTTTTTTTTTTCCAAGTTTTTATTTAAATTTCAGTTTGTTAACATACAGTGTGATATTAGTTTCAGTTGTACAGTTTGGTGATTCAGTACTTACAATACTGGTGCCCATCACAACCAGTGCCCTCCTTTTTTTTTTTTTTTTTTTTAAGGATTTTATTTATTTGATAGAGATCACAAGTAGGCAGAGAGGCAGGCAGAGAGAGAGAGGTGGGAGGAAGCAGGCTCCCCGCAGAGCAGAGAGCCCGATGTGGGGCTCGATCCCAGGACCCTGGGTTCATGACCTGAACCAAAGGCAGAGGCTTTATTTTATTTTATTTTTTTAAATTTTATTTATTTATTTGACACAGAGATAGAGTACACAAGTAGGCAGAGCAGCAGGCAGAGACAGAGGAGAAGCAGGCTCCCTGCTGAGCAGAGAGCCCGATGCGGGGCCTGATCCTAGGACCCTGAGATCATGACCTGAGCTGAAGGCAGAGGCTTTAACCCATTGAGCCATCCAGGTGCCCCAAGGCAGAGGCTTTAACCCACTAAGCCACCCAAGCGCTCCAGCCAGTGTCCTCCTTAATCTCCATCCCCATTCCTCCCACCCACTTCCCCTCTGGTAACCATCAGCTCTCCGTAGTTACGAGTCTGTTTCTTGGTTTTCCTCTCCTTTCCCACCCCACCCATGTTCATTTGTTTTGTTTCTTAAATTCCACATATGAGTGAAATCATCTGGTATTTGTCTTTCCCGGACTTATTTCACTTAGCATAATACACTCTCGCTCCGTAGGTGGGGAGGTCTTGATTGTGGAGGAGGCGTTTATGTTGGGAGAAGGGAGGTATATGGGAACTCTGTATAAATCTGTTAATCTAAGATTAACTCTTAAAAAAAAAAATAAAATCTATTTTTAAAATGAGCTGGAAAAACTCATTATTCAACCTGAATTCTAGTAGTATAGTTTTGTGCTACTAAATGGGATATAGAAAAATATGTATGGTCACTGTTTCATAACTGGCTTTTTGTGAAGTTACTTTGTTATATATCCATGGGACTATAACTAGAGAGTGTCCTTATCTAGTCATATATCTATAGTTACCATACAGTATGATTTATCAGAACTGTTCGCTGATAATGGTACTTTTTTGAGAAAAAGTTTTTTTTGAAGAACTAGCAAAAGCGATTTGAAAGTAAGCTTACATCATCTGAGCCTTTAACACATAGAAATAGTCTGTATTCACTAGGAGACAGTGCTCTTTTTGAGTACATAGAAATTAGTAAAAGTTTAAGAATTTCTAGTAAGACTACATTTACTATTTTCTTTTTAATGATTTTCATATTTCTGTTTCCTTGAGCTGGTGACGCTCTCCCCAAAAGGTCTAGCTTTATTGGGATAGACTCCTAGGGACCCCTGCGACTTTTTCAGGGCTGTTTGAAAACCCTGCATCTACTCTGCTCCCGCCATATTTTAGAACGGCAAACACAGACCACTGAGGGTCCGATCCCCTTCTCCTTCAGGTTGCCCACCCAGTTGATAGTAGGTATTCACTAGAGTACATGACTTTGATTTTGATTTGTAGTGGACTCACCTTTCTACTCCTAATCTGTGGTTGGCTGTTTAACAAAAGTATAAATCATACCTCTTTTAATGCAGTCAAACTTAAGCAGAAAGACACCAGTAAAAGAAAATAAAAATCATTCTAGGGGCACCTGGGTGGCTCAGTCGGTTAAGCATCTGCTCAGGTCCTGGGATCTAGCTCCTGTGTCGGGCTCCCTGCTGAGCAGGGAGTCTGCTTCTCCCTTTCCTCCCTCTCCTCCCCGCCTGTGCTCTCTCTTGCTCTCTCTCTCTTTCAAATAAGTAAATAAAATCTTTTTTTTTTTTTGTAAATAAAATCTTAAAAAAAAACACTCCAAATGTTTCTATTGAAAGGTAACCACTAATTAACATTTGGGTGACTGGCCTTCTAGAAACTTCTCTGTGCATTATACACATACATGATTTTAAATAAGAATGGTTTTATACATCTTCTTTTGTAATCTTTTTTTTTTTTTTTTTTTTAAAGATAGCGAGAGAGAGAGAGAGCACAAGTGGGAAGGAGAGGGAGAAGCAGGCTCACTGCTGAGCAGGAAGGCTGATGCAGGGCTCCATCCCAACCTGAGTTGAAGGCTTCACTGACTGACCGCCCCTTGTAATCTGTTCTTAATCACCCACCAGTGTTGGTGTCTTTGCAAGTTAAGTATAGATCTGTGTAATTTTTTTTTTTTTGTCTGTGTAACTTTTAATGATTTTGTAGTGCATTTACCCAATTATGTATTTCCCCCCCGCTTTTCTTTTTCATTATAAACAAAGATAAACAGGTATCTTTGTGCATCTGTTTATTTCTTTAGAAAATAGTTCTGGAAGTGAAAGAGGTAACAGATCAGTTTGGAAATGAGCATTAGTAGCTTAACTTTTCTTGCCACAAATGGCTATTTGGAAGTGGTATATAAGAACTGTGAACTTTGGAGCTTCTGGGACCTTTGGTTTTGGTCTGGTGGTGGGGTGGGTAGTTTGAAGATGCCCCCGGGGTGGGGCAGCTGGCAGGTGCATCTCTAGGGCTCCCTTTGAACTAGTCATTGAGTTGCATGGGGCAGGCTGGTTTTGGAACTAACTCTGCTATTGTTTCAGAGGGTGGAATGGCTCCAAAGGTCACCTCTGAGCTGCTTCGGCAGCTGAGACAAGCCATGAGGAACACGGAGTATGTGGCCGAACCGATCCAGGCCTACATCATCCCGTCGGGAGATGCCCACCAGGTACTGAGTGGAGATGGGCCGGTGATGGATCTCATCAGCCTCTCCTCTGTTTTCATTCTTTTCCCCCATCCCCAGTGTCTTTGTAGGATTTTAGTTGTCAGTCCGCAACTGAGCATGTCCTCCAGGGCTTGGCACAGGGGCCTGTGTCTAATAGGGTCTCACTGAATGCTTGCTGACTTGGCCCTGACATCCTTAGTTCTGGTGAATGTAGGCAGCTTTCAATAACCTGCGGAAGCATTAATGGACAAAAGGAGGGGAAGAGGTCTAGGCCTTTGTGTTGCTTACATACTTTACCCCATCTTCTGTCACACCCTGTCCTTCCAAGAATTGTCCGTCCTGCCTACCTTCTCCCCATCCAGACTGTCCCATCCCTCTGACATGGCTGGAAGAACAGCCAGAAGGTTGTCGTGATCTCTACCCCAGCAGATTGTAGGCATAATTCTGAACACCACCCTCTCCTCTCCTTCCCCCACCAACCATTACCTTTGATGGAAGCAACTCAGTAAGTGCCCTTTACCTCTGAGAACACTAGTGCCCTAAACATGGAGGAGGTGGGTTTGGAGAGGTGGAGACTGCATGTGATGGGGCCGAAGGGCAGGAGGGTGAAAGGATTCTAGTATCTACTCTTTGAGGTTGTTGAGTCAGCAAGTGTTTGAATGGGACTGCAGGGTTCCAAAGGTGAATTTAAGATTAAACTCCTGCCCTCACTATGCTTATGGTTTGATAGAGGAAAGAGATAACATAAAAAGTACTGTTCTTACATGGAGTCATCTCTACATACATACTTTATAGCCTTCACTTATGTGCAAGGCACTGCCCTAGGTGAGTTGCAGGACACAAAGGTGAGAATGGCCCTGTTCTTGAGAAGCATATGGTTGAGTCATGGAGTAAAGACATGTCTGTATGACAAGGTGGAATGTGGCAGTGCCATCAAGAAAAGTGGACAGGGTCACCTGGGTGGCTCAGTGGGTTAAAGCTTCTGCCTTCGGCTCAGGTCATAATCCCAGGGTCCTGGGATAGAGCCCCGCATCGGGCTCTCTGTTCAGCGGGGAGCCTCCTTCCTCCTCTCTCTCTGCCTGCCTCTCTGCCTGCTTGTGATCTCTGTCTGTTTAAACAACAACAACAACAACAAAAAAAATGCGGACAAAGCACTGGAAGCTTGAGGGTGAGAGGGAAGATGATGGAAGGCTTCATGAGCAGGGGAGGCATTGGAACTGGATGTTGAAGAATGGGTAGAGTTGGATAAGTAGAGGAAGTGGAAAGGATTCTGGGTGGCAAGGTTAGTAGGAGCAAAGCGGAGATGCAGGGAAGGTTGAAGCGCTTTTTGGAAACACCATGGCAAATCCCCCTGGCAGAAGCCCAAGGAGGGCATAATCTATAGGGGGAAATACAGCTAGTCCTGTAGGATCCTTAAGTTGTAGGTAATAAAAACCGCCTTGAGGTCCTCTGAACAATGAAAAGGCTTTATAAGGCTATAAGGGCAGGGCCACTGCTTTGGCCCAACTCCAGCTTGTGAATGATGGTATCTGGACTTGTGGAATGTCAGGGCCTCAGATGGGGGGGTGGTGTCTCATGGAACCTGAGGGCAGGAACTCAGCTGGCCCAGAACAACTGGGATGGGAAGGGCTTCAGCTCTTGCTGTAGATCAGTTTCTCCCTTTTTTAGGCAAGGTAGATGGTAAGTAGGGGGCCATCCAACAGTTCCCACATTTATATCTCTTGCTCTTTTTTACTTTCAAGATACCAGACTGAGCTAGAACCTCAATCCCAAAATCCAGAGTCCTGGGTGAGAACTTGATTAGCACGGTAGCTTGGTGTTGAACCTGGGTCCTGGTGTGTGTGTGCGTGTGTGTGTGTGCGCCTATGTGGGATGGCAGGTAGTGCCGACATGACTGGTGAGGGTCCACCATGATGGAGGGGTGGCATGGAAGAGATTACTGTTAAATTGAACAGTTGCTAAAAGATGTCCACTTTAACTGGCCTCTCTTCTGCTCCTCCCAAAGGTGTCAGACCCCATGGTGGTGACAGTAGCGTTAACCTAGGGTAGCTAGGTTAGCAGGGTAGGGTAGCAGGAAGCTTGGACTCCTGCCTGGAAACAAGATTTCCTGGCCTCAGGAGCAAATGAAGGGCTGAAATGAATAACCAAAGGGATTGGATATTTTGGGGCAATAGCGTGAAGTTCAGTGTACTTCGGTGTTTGGAACAGTATTCCCCAAACGGTATTTCACAGTATTCCTGTTGTGTCTCAAGGTGTTCTGCAGAAAGCATATTCAGTGGTCAAGAAAATAGTGAAATGAGCTTCTTTTTATTATTATTATTAATTTTATTATTATCCTATGTTATTATTTATTTTTATTATTATGGTAAGCAATTTTAACATTAAATTTATCATCTCAGCTATTTTTTTTTTAAGATCTTATTTATTTGAGAGTGAATGAGAAAGACCATGCATGAGTGAGGTGGGGGGTTGTGAGGAGGGGTTGTGAGGGAGAGGGAGAAGCAGACTTCCTGCTGAGCAGGGCCAACCTGGGGCTCAGTCCCAGCACCCTGGGATCATGACCTCAGCTGAAGGCAGATGTTTAACTGACTGAGCCACCCAGGCGCCCCCATCTCAACTATTTCTAAGTGTATAGCACAGTAGTGTTAACTCTGTGTACATTGTTGGGTAATAGATCTCTAGAACTTCTACATCTTGTGGAACTGAAACTCTGTATCCATTGAATGTCCCCTACCCTCGCCTCCCACTAATCACCACTCTACTTTCAGTTTCTAAGAGTTTGACTGCTTTATATACCTTATATAAATGGAATCAAACCATTGTCTTTTTGTGACTGCCTTATGTCACTTAGCATAATGTCTTTAAGGTATAGCTTATGACAGGATTTCCTTTTTATTAATTTTTTACTTTTTTCAAAGATTTTATTTATTTATTTGAGAGAGAGAGAGACAGTGAGAGAGAACATGAGAAGGGAGAAGGTCAGAGGGAGAAGCAGACTCCTTGTGGGGCTGGGAGCCTGATGCGGAACTCGATCCCGGGACTCCAGGATCATGACCTGAGCTGAAGGCAGTGGCTTAACCAACAGCCACCCAGGTGCCCAGGATTTCCTTTTGAAAGGCAGAATGATAACCCATTGTATGTATATGCCATTTTTTTTTTTTTTTTATATACCACATTTAAAAAAATCTTTTCATCTATTGATGAACATTTAGGTTGCTTCCAGTTCTTGGCTCTTGTGTATAATGCTACAGTGAACATGGGTATATAAATGTCTCTTCAGGATCCTGTTTTCAGTTATTTTGGATGTATACCCAGAAGTGGAATTGCTGAATCATATAGCAGTTCTATGTTTTTTTTTTAAAGTAAACTCTATCTCTAATGTGGGGCTCGAACTCAGGACCCCAAGATCAAGAGTCGCATGCCTCTATTGACTGAGCTGGCTAGGCGCTCCAGTAATTCTTTTTTAATTTATTGAGGAACTCATACTGCTCATACTGCTTTTTATGGTGGCTGTACCATTTTACATTCTCCTAGCTGTACACAAGGGTTCCAGCCAGCATTTCTTTTATTTTTTGTTCAGTTTTATTTTTGGAATCCTAACAGGTATGAGGTAGTATCTCCTTGTGGTTTTGATTTCCATTTTCATGATGATTAGTGATGTTGAGCATCTTTCCTATGCTTGTTGGCCAACTGTATGTCTCTTTCCAAGAAATGTCTATTCAAGTCCTTTGCTCTTTTGAACAGTTTCATAACTGCAGGACTTCTCAGGGCCTTTAATATGCAGATGTGCACTATGAAACTATAAGGAGAGGATGAGGTATTCAGCATTTTCTAGACTTAAAATGTTCATGGCATTCCCACAGTCTTCTCAGGGGCAGGCTCAGGGACTCAGTGTTTCATGGAATTCCTTGGTCCGTTGACCCACAGTAGTACTTTTCATGCTATTACGGGTCAGAACTTGATCCTTGAAGAGGTGAGAGGAAAGGGAGATCCTTGTGTGGGGAGGAGAAGCCACTGAAGACTGGGGTTCTGCATGTAAACGTGGGCAAAGGAGGAGGCGAGAAAGTACGAGTTGTGAGTATAGGAGAAGTAGCAGATCCGGCTGGAGCGGGGGCTGGTGGCATGTGAAGAAGCCATGGTGTGGGGTACATTACTGTTGGATTGAGTAGGCAGTGGGGAGGTGGGGGGAGGTGGGTGCAGTGTAGGGTGGGGGTTGGTAACGATTCTTCCATTCACCTCTGTTCTCTAGGATAGACGAACAAGACTCACCACCTTCACAGGAACCAAAGCTTCATCTTAGCTGAGGACTAGGTGAATAAGTAGGTTGGTCAACACAGTCTGGGCCTGAGTCATGGTAGGAGACTAGGTGACAGGCACCCCAGCATTTAGGAAGGGCAGACTTTAGCCTTGTCCCTGAAGAAATCCTGCCCCCCCCATCTCCTGTCAGTGCCAGGCTTTAGCCTTTGGACTTAATGCTTCATGTCATGTGGATTCTGTACTGATGCACTAGCGATGTTTTCCAGTTTCTGCCTTTCCAGCATCAGGCAGTTGCCCTGGACTGATGGGATTGCAACCATTCTATCTCAGTTTTGAGCAGGATGATGGTTCCTGTGGTGGGAGCACATTATGTGGCAATTGGTGTGGGGTCTTCAGTGAGTCACTATCTCAGCGTGGGTTCTCCAGAGGGACAGAACCAATAGGAGATATAGAGATGTATCCGTACAGAGAGACTAATCCTGAGGGATAGGCTCCCACATGAGGCTTCCCTGGTTCACTTCGAATTTGAACTGGAACTTGAACTGCACCACGAGGGCTCCTAGTTCTCCAGCTTGCACACAGCACCGATGGCGTGTGTCCCTGTCTGAGTTAAAGGCCTGAGAACACGGAACGGTGATCTCTGAGGTCAGAAGAAGATGGTTGTCTCAGCGCTAATGAGAGAGCAAATTCCACTTTCCTCTATACCTTCAGCGGATTGGATGCTGAGCACATAGGTAGGACAGTCT